GCTATAGTAGTGTTGCAGTCTCACTCTCTCTGGATTTATCCATTATTTTGTTCTCTTTTATTCTTTGCTGTCTGTGTCTACTGTGTGTAAAAGGGTCTATAACGCAAAGACAAAGTTAATCAAAATATTAGTTCGTATGTATGAGTGTGGAGGAAGGCTGGTGGACACCTGGCACCTATGACAATATTTACCCAGGCAGCAATCACTGCTAAGGGGACATTTCTCTTGACATACCCCGTCCTCTGGTTCCCTTTCCCTTGCTTTTCCACTCCACATCCAAGACGACTTAATACTGATTAATACAAACACACCGTCTTAATGCATTACCCACTTTGTGGAGATAAGTGGCAAAGCTGCTGGAGACTGGGGATTTGTGAGTGACGTAGTAGTAGTTGTTCCAGAAAGACCTGCAGGAAAGAGAGGCAAGAGGAAAGGACACATGCAGTGGGGATGCTTTAAAGAAAAGGAGCTACGTCTTCCTACAAGTATACATTTTGAAAGCTACTAATCAGATGCTCGCTCATTCACCGCCATTCATCTTTCCCCTCACTGGGGGAGCCTTCATAAGCTCTACTGGTGAGGGGTGATGCTACATCCTCTTTCCTCAGGATACCTGTATTGTTACAATGTGTGTTGTGTGCTTATGCCGTGGGATATGTAAATATTATGGCGTTCATGTATTTTAGCAATTTTGCTTCGTTAAAAGGTTTTTATATAATTACACAGAGCATCCTACCTTTTCCTGCAAAAGGCTAATTCAATGAGTAATAACGACAATTTTTCTTCTCTGTCAGTATTTGTGTCAGTGGCTTCTAAGTGAGCGTCGGCTTCTTTGAGTGTCCCGGTGTGTGATGAAGTATGTGAAAGGTTGACGGAGGGAGTGTGAGAAAAGGAGCCGGCGGAGAGACAAAAACACATGTACTGTGCGTTTGTCTCTGAGCCAGTTAATGAAATATACGGGCTGAAGAGAGAGAGTGTGTGTGTGTGTGTGTGTGTCCTGGCACGTGTGAGGTGGTGTGTGGGCGTCGAGAGGGAAAGCTCATAAAACCCATGATCACACTGATGAGGTCACGGGGAGTGAAACCAGAGAAAGCCTTTCATTTCCTGTCTCATTCCATCCCTCTCTCTCCTCTACCTCCATTCATCCATCCCTCCTCCACCCTTTCTGCCTATACTTCACTTCTGTTTTTCACCACCGGTGCCAAAGGCCAAAAGCCTTTCTCACTCTCTGCTTATCTGGAATTTTTCAGTGTCACCCAACACTGGAAAATAAGAATATGAGAGTGTTTTTATTTTAAAGTGACTGATGTTTGCGTTCAGCTCAACACATTCTTGGTCCTCACATTATTCTCTCTTATGCTCTTATTTTTACCACTAATGTGCTCACACATGTAGTGTTCCTGTCATAATGTGTATGTCATACTGTCATTCTTTAACATGTCAACAAACTAGAACATTTATTAACTCTCCACTTATTTTCCTGATTTATTATATCTATCTTTGTCTATAAAATGTCAGAAAATTGAATAAAATACTCGTCGCAGTTCTCCAAGAACCCTTAGTGACATCTTCAAATGTCTCAATCAACCAGTCCGATACCTAAAGATAGTCAGCTTGCAATCATAAAAGACACAGAAAAGCAGACAATCCTCACAAATGATTGGTTTGAACCAGGTAATGTAAAAAGAATACAACTATTAATCAATCAAATAGCTGCAGATTATTATGCTGTTGATTAATGAATCTACTAGTTGTTGCAGCTACTTCTCCTTCTTTGTTTTCTTTTTCAGTTAAAGCTAGTGTTGGTAATTTTAAGAAACCATCAAGAGCAGCACTAGCTCCACAAGTCACCAAATCTAGCGAGAAAGTTGCCAAGTCGGCAAAACTTGACAGCCCGTCCCTTCAGGCCTCGATCAAAAGATACTCCCCAAAAAGTATTGTATAGAATGTAAACAGGTCTTTGAAATAAAAGACTCCAAGTTTAACAAATACATTCTTTAAGAATTGTTAATTTTATTATGACAATGCAGCCGTCTGCAAAACTTCCAGCGATTGAAAGATAAAACTAGGATTATTAAAGAATGAACTGAATGTATTTTTAGGTTAATCTGCATTGACAAACTCTGGAAATGTGTTTTGAAACAGAGAACTAGTTGCAGCTCACTGTTCTGCAGGGAAGCTACAGGGAGGAAAGTAAAATGTCGATTTGAGTCCGTCACCAGCTGTTGTGAGTCAACATGTGAGTACAATCTTTGATTTTACTGTCAGTACAAACGTGTGTTGACCACAGAGAATAGTTTTTCTAACAAAAGGGAGAGACTGTATTGACGTCGGCGGTTCCACCGCTAACCTGCAGTTATTTTCTGTTGGAAGGAGAAACCAGCACAAACCATTGCAGTCACAGTGAGGCGATCATCGTCATGGAACAACACGGAGGAAGATGTGAACAGCACAAGCACCTGAGGAATGGACACTGTGGCTAGAGATGTACAGCAATATACTCGACATTGAACAAGCCCATTTGTTGTATTGCAACTTGTTTTTTTTGCAACCCGTTTGCCCATATTTGGAATGCGGAAGAGTGATGTAGAGACGCCGTATGCGGCTCTTGTAGTAGCAGCCTGTCAATCACCAAATAACCCGCCCTAAAGTATACTCTGCTTCATGGTCTATGTTACTCTAAATGTGATCATCATTTTCTAAATGAACATCATGCTGTATTGAAGAAGACTTGAAACTAGCAGTTGAGACCATGAATCCATGTTTACTGAGGTAATAAATCAAGTGAGAACTACCCAGTGAGCACTAACCCGGAGTTCAACGTTGATTTCTGGTTGAAAAAGCGTTGATATGGGGTCTGAACGTCTTAGACGTATTTTAACCGCCTTTTGAACCGGCTAAATTACGGTTACAATATCAACGTGTCACAAAACACCAATTTGTTTTAAAATATTGTTGGTTTGTTAAGTTGTAGGTTGAAAGAGACGCGATTTTGGTTACTTTAAACGTATTTCTCCAAAATCATATTACGCTAGCCGTTGATATGTGGTCTAAACGAAGACGTTATTTCAACGCATTTAATGTTTCATACAAAACTTCGTAAATATGGAACTATAGACTGTGTGCTGTCAACAAGAAGCTCCCATGACATCGTAATGAGAGCAGAGCACATTATGCCTGTATGTTCACGTAAAATACAACTCTGTGTTTACTGCTGGAACACGCATGCGCACGGACTCAGAGGTGCTGTCTGCACGATGCTAGCTAGCTAGCTAGCGCTTACTGAGTTGATGAGCGAAGTGAACGAGCTGACGGAATAAACGAGGCTTCACGCTAACGACATACTCTGTAAGTACTTGAACTACTTTATTCCAATATTGCAAACCGAAATATCATTACCAAACCATTAATATCATGTTATGCTCATCATGGTGGCGAGGCTGCTAGCAATTGTAGCGTTAGCATGCTACGAAGGTAAACATAGACACGTGTTAGTTAATATTGGAGACACTTTCTTTGTGGACTGTCCCTGTAGCCCAACGTTATAAAATAGAGTATTTAGGACATTTCACATGTACAATACACGTGTATTTTCCGTATTTTTCTTACTGTCCGTAGTACTACGGACAGCGAGTGGGGCTGTACACAGTTTAAATACTTGTTTTATTTACAGATGTCCAGCTTGAAAATATGGCAGATCTCCTGTGTGGCTTTGAAAACGAAATTTAAAGAAGGAAAAGGAGATTATGGTTTTATATAAAGAACATTGTTTATTTTTATATTGTGCTTTAATAAATACAAATGAACCGTTGCCTGTGTCACTGTGAGAAATCAGAGATCGACAAAGACGACTATATTCTCCACACAATGTTCGCTTAGCAGGATGCATTTACTAGCTGTGAGAACCATTCTCTCTGCTACTGTGTCAAGAATGTTAAATTATGTTGTATGCACCTGTGTCTCTGGCTGGAGCTCCGACATAAGATGAGGAAAGAGAGCCCTGTATGTGCACTTGGGACACTTTTCTCTGTTAACTTGACTTTTAAATGCCTAACACCTTTGAAACAACAAATAGCTTGCCATCAATTTACTTCATATTTCACCAAAACATCAAGGCACACCTGAGCTCACTCCATAACGCAACAGCTGTGAACCAGTGCAGCTGCGGATAACAGGGAGCTACACAACTACTCTCCTGCAGTCACTCTTCTTCTTATCACAGGCTCATTACTGGCCAGTGTCTGACGAAAACACCAAGGGGCAGCAGTAGCTGGCTGCCAGATTGCCTGTCCCATCTGTGTGCTCACGTTTAGCAGAGGGAGGAAAATTAAAGGTGGGAAAAGCAGGAAGGATGTTGAGGGAAAGCTGTGTCTTCTTGTACGAATACATGTGTTCCCCAAGACTGAAACACTGAAAACTGTGCCAAGCTACAGTACATGGGACCAGAACAAACACAAGACAACAAAATGACATATGGCGTTAACGTCAAACTAAATAAGCCACCTTGATTAGGAAATGGAATCCTTTTTGAAAAACGAGTGCGCAAAGAAAGAATCGAATGCAGAATGTGAAACTAGTCTGTGTGTAGTTCTCTCAGATCATCCCTGAGCAAACTGCGAACTTCTCTTTGTGTTTGTGTGTCTAGAATATATTCTATTTGTTCCCCAAAGGGGAGACAGTGAAGCAGCGGCACTAACAGTGATTAGGTATTCGGCATTCAGTATAGAGTTCAGCACAAGGGACCTCAGGCTTTCTCAGAACCATATTTGATGTATTTTTTTTTATTTATTCCAGTTTCATAAAAACAAACAAATTAGATAATGTGGATGGGGAGTCTGGGATTAATTTTGAAGCAGCTGATTAGTGTGTTTGTGTGTGTGTCCTGGGATAATTGTGTCTGGGACCGAGCCTAAAAAGCCTTTAGGCTTTACTGCAGTCTGAGAGATAGAAACACTCCCCCCCCCCTCTCTGCCCATCTCCCCCTCCCCCCATCCCGCTCATTCTGTCTTCTCACATTTTCCTGTTCTCTGGAAGAAAAACTTGTTTTTTAAACTGGCGTCTTTCCTCTTTCCATCACTCAACACATCCGCTCCTCTATTTCTCCCACCTTCCTTTTCTCCCCGCTTCATGCCATCCTCCTACTTTTCAATTCTCCTCCACGCCGCTCCTCTCCGGTGTGAATCAGATCCCACTGCTGAGTGCACCGTTCGCTGAATTTGTCATTTTGAGAAAATATAGGACACAGGAAATATCTTTAATGTCAAAATCTCATCTGCAGATGAAGCCAGTCCTTTTGACAGTTTAGAATCTGTTTAAGATTACATGTTCCTCAGTTGGTTTGTGTCCACAAACACGAAACAAAGTCTGCTTCCAATAACAAAGATACAAACAAGTGTCTTTACAAGCTGTTCAGAGCAGTACCAAACAAAGCATTTCTTGAAGAGTTGAAGTATGTGAACAATAAGTGAATATTATTTAAGTAACTTTATATTCATAAAAGATAAACAATGGCAGATCAAATATGAAGCAGTCTACTGCTAAAGTGCAAATAATTCTGTGTTCCCTCTCAATGAGTCTTCTCTACTGACCAGAAGACGGCAGTGTGTGCAGGAAGTTGATGGGCAAAAAGAGACACTTTTGTCTTGAATCAGGGGATCGGGCTTAGTGTTAGATATGAAGTAGCACTCCAAGTGACGCACAAGGAGCATAATGAGGCTGAGAATAAGTACGACCTGAGAAGACGACTGCAGGGGAAATAAAGTCTCCCAGCAATGAACATAACTGTGAGAAAGTTTGGCTTTTGTCTCACTGGACTTGTAACAGCCATTCTGAGATGAGATGGGCAGGCATGATATAAATGCGACGGGGATTCCCTTAGCTCCCTCCTGACGTCAAACGCGTGTCCCACTTCCGGTCTGCCGGACATCAGCCACTGTGCAGGAATGCAGCAGCATTGTTTCTCTCGGTCATGCTGTTCCGGTGTTTATTGGCTTTCTGTCATTTTGCAGACTGTCTCTGGGTCTCCCCTCGTCCTGTACAGGTGACTCACCTGCGGATCTGTCGGTGAGTCTCAATTAGGTCCTGATGTGATTGTACTATGGTGTCCTGTTAGTGACCGTGTCTTGCTTGTATAGCTGCCGGTAGCTACGCTACATGCCCTCCTCCCCCCTTCTGGAGCTGCTGAATATTGCCTGATCGATAAGGTGATTTTATTCTGTTAGTTTATATACTTTGGTGCTAATTATTATTATTATTATTAATTATGTGTCATCCCGTATCACAGGGGACTTTTGGTTGGGTTTGAGCGGAACGCTGCCAGAAAACGGCTACAGCTAACTCTGCTTCCATTCAAGGACGCTGCTGTTTTGCTTACCGGTGTTTTGCCAACGACCGTGTCGTAATGGCTTTTTGGGTTCGTCTACCCTGACCTGCGCTGTGTCGCTAAGGGTCTGACGCTGCTATTGTCAGCACTGCGCCCCCGTCTTGTGCTGTTTGCTGCCAGCAGCACCCTTGTTTTAATGAGAACAACCTCTTTTTAGCCTGAGCCATTTCATGTATTCTGCCCAGGGATGTTAAGGCCCACTCTGGCTTTAAGTTTATATTAATTGGGTTACTGATCACCCCCCCCTGGCTGATCAGTCAACCAGAGCTATTTCTGTTGTTATTTTTTCCTTTTGTTTGATTTTCTTTTCTGAGAACCAGAGCCTTTTTGTAATTGTGTCCTTTGTCCCTGTAGGAGCTGCTAAGCCAAGGTGTTGGTGTCTCCCTTGTGTGCTGTGTCGTTTGGTGTGCCCCTGGTTAAGAACCCTCACGTGTGTGTGTTGTGTACAAAGTGTGATCGGGGTGCCTCCTCTTTTGGGATCCTCACCTGCACTGGTCCACCTCGCCACTGGTAAGCCGCAGTCCTACTCTTTTAAATAAATGTATAAACGGCTCTTTTAGTATTTTGTGTATAAACCGTACGGTGAATTTGTAATCGAATAAAGATTATTTTTGTGTTGGAACCACGTCTCCTGCTAATTTGTATAATGAACCCTGAGTGTCCTAGGAAACCTGATACTGTGTGGGAAAAAGTGAATCCTTGGGTGCAATTCCTAAGGTGGCGTTGTTGTGCTTTAAACGACATCCCGTCTACCTCTCGCCACGTGTTATTAAGATATTACAGTGAAGGGCCATTCCTATAGATACACTTCACAGTCTGTTAAAATGACTTTTTTAATTACTGTAAACACCATGAAATAATTTGCCTTTTTGTGTCATGAATCCAAACCAAATACAGAGTATTAATTATGGGAATTAAGTGACTCTATTGCAGGATCCTGATCAGGTCCAGCCCGATCCGTCCCCTCTGAGGGTCCAGATTCAGGACCCGGACCTCCACCCGCTCCCCAGGTCCAAGCGCCAGGCTGCGGCGGCGCTGGCTCACAGGCAGTTTGTCCAGGGTGATGTTGCTCTTGTGGATGAGGCCCGCGCGGCCGACACCGATGTCTACAAAAGCCCCGAACAGAGCCGTGTTGTCCACCCGGCCCGTCAGCACCGCACCCACCCGCAGATCGCTCATCGACACAATGCCCCGCTTAAAGTCCGCTTGTCCAAAATCTGAGGATAGCAAAAAGAGATCAAGAGGAAAAACAAAAAAAAAAGTTAGGTGGCGAGATCTATTACAAAGTCAGGTATGGGAGGAAGCTAGCACAGATGCTTGGGAGGAAGAGACGGGAAAAGGGGATGCAGGAAAGTGAGGGGCGGGGCAGAAATGACAAACAGATCACATTTTGAGCAGCAAGCCGATACGTGTGTCTGCATACTTCCACATTTATCAGCATTCTATGCTTTTCCACTTGGCCTGTTCATGAGATCTTTTTCCTTTTCTGTATCAATAACACAAACAAGGAAGGCTCGCGCCCCAGGAAATAGTCCGGTCCAATTATCCTCCCTACAGCACTGATTTCATGGGGTAGCCTCGGCCCATCTGTTTACTCAGCTGAGCACCGGCTAGGAGGCCAAGCGTAGTGTGCTGCAACCGAATAGGGCCAACCTGAGAATGAACCTTGAAGCTGCGTTCCTTCTTTTTAAGAAGTTAGCCAGCACTAACTGGGTACCCAGGCTTGACTTTTTCTTTATCTCTCCGCATAAAGATCTATGAAAAGGAGAGCCTGGTGATAAGGCAAATAAAGTTTATTTTGTATTTAACTCACCAGTCTGGAAATCAGACAATTGTAAACATATTTTATAAACCCAGGTTCATTTAAGTTTGTACCTTCGTCCTTATTCTACATAAGAACAGACCAAGTAGCCCTATGTTTCTTCATAAGGGAGGAGACTATTGACGGTTTCATTCTTAAAATTATGTTTCCACAATCAGTGAAAGTGGCACGAGTCAACATATAATGTAGGTATCCAATGAATGAAGACTTAGCTTGACGCGCTGCTACACACTCAATAATAGCAATTATTAATAATGTTTCTCACTCAGTACCATCTTCAAAATACCAGCTTCAATAGCTTGTAGCGTTAATCAGAATTTAAAGCAAATATAATTGTACTTATATATCATTAGCACTGAATACGCTTTTTAAATCCAACATCTATTAGATTTATTTACAATGCATGGGTGTCAGTTATGCAACTCTCTTGATTTCATAGACCCTTTTTTTCAAAATAAAAGGAAAGAGAAATAACAAAAGAATTGAGTCTGAAATGTGACAGAAATTCTTCTGAAATATATTTGAGCTTCAGCCAAACAGCTAAAAATCGATGTATGTACGATTTATTGATATGATATTGTGCGCCTGAACTCAAGAGTATGTGATTAAGGAGAAAGAAGTCTTTGTGTGTAGACATTTTGTTTTACAGCACAGTCTGCTGGAGCCATCACAGCCTCTCAGAAACATGCTACTTGTGTTGTTGGGCTACAGGGAGGAAGCCACAGCACTGTCAGATCCTATTAACTTACACTGCCAAGACATGCCTATTATAATAAAGGCACACATGGATGAATATGGTGTATTTGTTCCTCTAGGAAATGTTTGCCTATAGACTTTGGCAGCTGGTTCTTTGTGTCCTTTGACAATTAACCAGGTGTTTACCCGGTCTTATTCCAGTGTGAGTGTGAATGGCAGGAGTCTTACTTTGTCTTATGTCAAACCCAGGAGGCTGCGTGAGGCCGTCTATGATGAGTTTGAGGGTCTCAGGTGTGGTGTCCAACGTCTTGGCCAGTTCCTCGACACTGCTGGTCCTAACCTTGCTGTCCACGCACCGTTGCAGGCCTGGACTCCCGATCTGGTCTGCACTCCCACCCACGAGGGACAGAAACCTGGAATGGAGTGACGTATGTAAAAATAAATATACAAAAAACATTGCGCAGTGTGTGAAACTTCAACTTTGAAAACTACAAAACACTAACAGCAAATAAACAAACTATATTTTTTGGGTATGCACACACAAGTTGATGACAGTGTCTATAAACGCGAGTGGTCCTAGTTGGGCTAAAGCACATGCAGCCCCTCCCTCACAGAGACCTGGGCCTACGAGGGATGGAGTAACTGAGCAGGAAAAGAGGAAGGGATGGGAGGAGGGGGGGAGTGACGACAGACCGGGAAGAATGATTAGGAAAAGAAAAGTATAACTGTCAGAAAGAAGAGAAACAAAAGATGAGACGTAGGAAGTAGGGAGCGAAAAGCTAACCTAATGCAGGTAAAGTGAGGGGGAGCTTGTGGGGGAACAGAGGGAGGGCGGGAGAGGTGTGGGAGTAATTACACACAAAGCCACGAGCTGCTGGGGTACTCACAAGCACAAATACACATTTATTTTACCCCCTATTAAATCAGGTAAATCCGCAGTGGGCTGTAAACACCCTGACACCTTGTCTCATGAAACTGCCTCCACTTTGCTAAGGTTGGACTGTTTGTCCATCTGTTCAGCGCCTGGAAAAATCTCCCTCTATCACGTTATTCTAGCAGGATGTCCCACCTCCGAAATGTCTAGACAGTCAGTCAGGTTGCACCATTTAAAACTCACTGAACCTGAGATTTGAATCAAAACTAATTAGCTCGTCTACATTCTAAAACAGACCTGGTAACAAGCTGGCACGAGAGAGCCAGAGTACCAAACACGTGTGTGTCCTTGTGAGTGTTGTGCGTACCGTATATTCTATTTACAGTCGGCACTTTTCACAGCTAGTGATAGATATGAACGCATTTGCCTCTACACGCATGTGTTCATGTGTGGACCAGCTGGGTAGCGTCCGTGATGGATGTCGCTCACTGGCAGCCTGACGCCTAACAGACTCCGCAGCTGTCTCCTCCCCCCACCCCCATGATGGACAGAACAGGTGGACACACGCACACACACACAAAGTTGTTTCATACACAATGCTGTTCCAAAATGCTCATTTGGCAGCGGCAGAGACAGTGCGGATGTAACGGGACACGGCTTGTGTACAAACTATGTACGAGACAGCTGGGAGCGGAGAGGCCTCCGCCAGCTAAGTCACCGTCTACCGTCCAAAAGGGGAGACAAGGGGAATCGATCCCTCAACACCCGCGAGCCAGACTGGTGCAAAATAGTAGCCGAGTGTGTGCCAGAAATGGCTTAGTGGTGAGGAAACATCACCTTTGGACCGAAGCGGATGCCTGTCTAACACTCGGATCTTGTCTCCTGCGTCTCCCTGGGCTTCTTAACTTTCCAACCATATATCGCTTTACAGGCAAAGAAATACTTGCTTCTTGGTGGCCTAGTGGTCTAAGAAGCATACCACAGCCCCCATGGTTTGAATCCAGCTCGGGACCTTTGCTGCAGGTCATCCCTCTTCCTCACAATATTTCGACACATTCTCATTGTCGACATTTTCAAAAATGCCCCCCCTCAAAGAATCTGCAGCACTCACTAGAGTATCAAATGTAGCACAGGAGGAAATATGTTCTCCCTGATGAAGTGTAACAAGCAAAAGTATATCGTAAATTTAACCTATCGTTGACTGAAAATTTTGAAAAATCGTTTTATGCCACTAGGACTTCGATCAACTTAAAATACTGCTTCTCTGCTTCTGCTTTTCTGTTCTTATACGCTGAGTCCCAACTGAAGGCTTTTCTCAAGGGATACTCGCTGAACCTCAAACATCAGACAGTTAAAAGAGGGCACACAAATTTGGTCAGTTTGCGGACCAAATTTAGGAGCATCCCTCCAACCTCTGAGTACAAAAAAATTAAAGACGGAATGATAGAGGGAGAGGACAGCAGTGTTGAACTAAGAGCAGCCTGTATTCTGTTGAGTTCTACTTTCAGGTGTGTGAGTGTGTGTGCGTTGCCCATCTCATTTTTCCAAGGGTGTATGTTAGTATTTAAGGGGTACCAGGAGTCCAGAGGCCTCCACCAGTGTTGGGTTCATACTCATATAATTACTACCAACGCTGTGTGTGTGTGTGTGTGTGTGTGTGTGGTGAATGTGGGGTTGGGTGGGCTAGGATATAGATTTTATCCAGGCCCACAGCAAGAACCCACTCTGTCTTGTATTATAGAAATATTGGGCCCCGACTGTTAAATATAAGAGTATTCATCATAGTGGAACGCCTCTGTCTCATATCACAGTAATACTATAGATTTCATGGAGTGGAGCCAACTGCCTAAAAACACTACGCTTTCATTGACATTCTGATGCTAGATATTCTAACAAAGAAGATCCTCTACAGCTTATTAATAACATCATTTACAGAAAAGCTGCATATCAATATTTGCTTTAATGCAAACATATCTCACTGAAACAAAGGTGGACAAATTGTGTGTGTGTGTTTGTGTTGTATATGGTTACAAAAAGTGGGTGATGTGGGGGCTGTGAGCAGTAATGGAGGATCCAGTTTCACTAATGTGATGAACATGATATTCCATATACACCATAAAGACACACACACACACACAGCATTCCTCCACAAATACCTCCTGCTTTCACTGGTTGGAGGCGAGGATGTGAGAAGAGCAGTGAGGAATCTAATGATCTACACAATTTGAGAAGTTTAATTTAGAGGGTTGAATGTGTCCCAATATGCTAAGTAGTCACTCCAAAGGAGAGCCTTTTAAAAATGTAAAGCTGGATCTAAAAACATATATATTAAATTCTAAATTAAATGATCACTTTCTATGAATGACAATAATCTTTACAATTATTAATATTTAAACGGCTGAATCAAAGTGTAAGACTACACCTGTAATGTTGAGAGCTTGTGTGAGGAGGCAGCCGAATCAGGTCTTAGTACGACGGTCTGTTGTTCAGAGGCATGACGTACTCTCTGATTTAAAAGTTCAGAGGAAGATGATTTGTTTTCCATTACATCAAAAGTACACGAGGCCATCTGAATTCCAAGGAAGAGCGAGTGCTGACATGCGTTTCTTTTCTTGCGCCGTCATCAGACATCAACCCCACAGCCCATCGTCATTAACATTTAAAGAGGGATGTGACATACTGTGAAACCGCAAGACACGCTCAAAAAAAACAACAAAGGGTTCTCAAATTCTGCAAGGGTTTGTGAAACTGAGGCCATCAAGAAATAAATGTGTGAACAGGTGAGAAATTAATTTGCTTTGAATTGAGTAAATTGCCAGACGTGGATTATAGGATAGTCATAGCAAAGGATACAACATTTGCCAAAGCAGGGTTAGGAGTTCTGAAGAGCAGGAAACAGGAAAGCAGAGAATGAGAAGTAGACTGGTGAGAAACGAGAGAATGGATGACGGAGAGAAAACAGACAAGCGCCGAGACAAAAATACGGACACACTGCCGCCCACTTAGCAAAATGTAGGATAATGTACAAATACATTAGTCAAAATGTGCTGTGGGCCAAAAGAACAAAGCAAAACAAAAAGTAAAGTCATTTAGAGAGAGAGAGAGAGAGAGAGAGAGAGAGAGAGAGAGAGAGAGAGA